TTTAAGAATGTAATTCAGTACTTGAAAATTTCAGAGCCAATCACAATAGCAACTACTACAAAGAAATGAGTTAAGATGAAAGGTTAAGAGAATACAATTATTACAACTATACGTTAAAATAAGTGTTTTCTAATTGTGGTATTTTTTACCACAGAAATTAAATCTTGCTAAAATGTTTAATCTTTTAATTTATCACAACTTACCAACCTGCCAATTTCATGAAAATTTAAATTTAATTTGAAATCAATGAGAAGATTTTAACCATATTAGTTATAGTTCTTTAAATATTTAGGGATGGAGCAAGCTCTGTGGAAGGCATTTTAAAAATGAAAATGAAGAACAAAGTTTTACTGTCAAGAGAGGAACAATACTAAAACAATTTATAACATTTTTAAACCATTATGGAAGCACAGGCAAAGAATTATTATATCTAAAGTATTGAAATATTTCCTCCCTAATGTAAAACATAAGTTAGGCTTGTAAAATGAGGTAAAATGTAACTAGAAAGGAGAACTATTTCAGGTAAAGAAAAACAATTCTAAAGTTTATCTAATTTCTAAAATTTCTGCAATAATCCCTCCCTTTTTTGAGTCAAGATCTATGTAATTTGGGGTAGCCTTGAACTATGTAGCTCAGGTTGGCTTTGAACTTGGGGCAATCCTCCTGCCTCAGCCTCCCAAGTGCTGGGATTACAGGAACAATGTTTCTTTTCAATCTCAGTGGATCATCCATTGAAAGCATATTAAAATCCTATCTTAAATCATTTTTCTGAATTTTATCCAGTCATGTAACAGAAAAAAGTGCATAATCTATTAATCATAGCTATACCCAGAGTAACTAAATGAATGAAATTTTTCTTCCTGAATTATTTCCTCATACTATGAATTTTAAAAAAGAGGTAACTCTCAAGAATATGAGATGTTAAAAAACAATTTGTATCTGGGCATGATGGTACATGTCTGTAATCACAGCACTTGGGAGGCTGAAGGATGATCACTGCAAGTTCAAGGTTAGCCTGGGCTACATAGTGAGTTCAAGCCCAGCAAGCACTACAAAGCAAGGCCCTGTCTCAAAAAAAAAACAAAACAATTTGTACAATTACAACTTCCAGATATTTCTCAACAATTATTTTATTTAAAAAAAACAATTATTTTATTGAAGCTTTATAGTAATTCATCCTACCACAGCATTACACAGCCCAAACATTGCATACTCACAAACAGATAATCTAACTGCCATTAAAAGAATCAAAGTTTTTGTTTCCTCAAATATGATTTTAATGATCAGGAAGACTCCAAAACCAATCACAAGATAAAATATGGGTACATGAGATTTGGTCAACTTTTTTCACATCAATCAAATTGTTTTAATTCATTGTCTGAATATAATTTAATTGCCAAGATACCATGATGATTATTATCACACTTCCATAAATTATTTCAAATAACATTTTCCATGTACTTGGTAACACTAAGTAAATCTTTCAAAGAGATGTTCAGAAGCCGGGCATGGTGGCGCACACCCTTAATCTCAGCACTCAGGAGGTTGAGACAGGAGGAATGCTGTGAGTTGGAGACCAGCCTGGGCTACATAGTGAGTTCCAGGTCAGTCTCAAATACATAGTGAGACCCTGTCTCAAAAAAATAACAAAACAAAACAAAGAGATGTTCAGAGCTGGGAATTTAGCTCAATGGTTCCACCTCCTACCTTGCAAGCTCAAGGTCCTGAGTTCGATCCCCGGTACCAAAAAACAAACAGATGCTCAATTTATATTTATGTATTTAAATCAGGGAGAGGAAAAGCAGTCCAGGTCTAAGGATGTAACAGTAAATCAGGAAAGTGCAATACATTTAACTTGTCTACAAATACCACAGAACTTTTCAAAAACGTAAAAATCTAAAAAGTCTTTGAAATTCTGAGGTGGAATGCATATATGCTTTACTAAGAAAAACTACAGGAATCAAAAATGTTATATATAAATTACTTCACTATTTAAAGGTACTAAACCCAATGTCCTAATCCCTTCAAGAACCTATTAAAGTACACATTATCATACCCACCTATCAGACAAGGAAATTAAGGATCAGAAATTTGAAAATCTACCCAGTTTTACTCATCTAGTAGAATAAGTTAACCTAGTTCCTCCAAATGTTCTTTCCAATAAATAGTACCATTTTAAAACATTCTCTGGCCAGCTTGGGCTACATGAGTTTATGGCCATCTTGAACTACATCAAGATCTTGTCCACAAAAAAACCAAAAAATAAATAAATAAAAAGGAAATATTTCCTAGGAAGTATAGCTCAATGGTAGAGCACTTGCCTCATATGCAAAAGGTGCTGGGTTCTATCACCAACCATGAGAATGAAAATAAATTTTTTTTAAAAACCATTTTACAAATAAGCAAGACTTCATTTTTTAAAAAATAATATATAAAATCTAGCTGGGTGTGGTGGCACACACCTATGATCCCAGAACTCGGGGCTGAGGCAAGAAGATCACTAGGAGTTTAAGGCCAGCCTGGACTACACAGCAAGACTTTGTCCCAAAAAACAAATAAATAAATGATAGTATTAAAGATCTAAATACAAAATCCTCAAATATATATTGAGACCCTATCTTCTTGGGGACTATAAAACTTACATAGCTAATAAAACAATTCCTATTCATAGCATTTTACATGACATGCTTGAAGAAGTAAAATCAAGATGCCTATACTTTGATAGTATAAGCATTCAGTAGCAGGGCATGGTGGTACACACATGTAATCCCAGCACTCTGGGAGGCAAAGGCAGAAAGATCACAAGTTTGAACCCAGCCTAAGCAATTTAGCAACTTAAGTTCAAACTTTCAAAAAAGGATGAGATGCAGCTTACTGTAAAGGCCTGGGTTCAAGATAAGTGAATATAAACATTCACTGAAATGTTTATACATTAACTGTTTGAAACATTTGCAAATATGCCTCAGGTGGCATGTCTGTATCTTAACCAATATTTGAATTGTTTTTTTGTTTTCTTCCGGTTTTGTAGTACTAAGGATTAAACCCAGAGCCTTCACCCTGAGCTATACCCCTAGCCCTTTTTATTTTGAGACAGGATCTCTATGAGTTGCCCAGGTGCAACTCAAACTTTTCATTCTGTCTCTGCCTCCCACATACTGAGATTACGAGTGTGTACCACCAAACCCAGCCCCTTTTGATCACACCAGTGGTTATACTGCTGAGGTGAGTTAAGGTATGACACCTAGATAATCTCAGGATGGGACTGCTCTGGAGAAAGTGGGAAGGGGCTGGAAACTAAGGTCTATAAGAGCTCAGATGCCAAGAGGTTGGTATACCCGAAAAGGGTATAAAAGCCCCACATTTTCCCCATCCCATAGTTTGACTAATGTATCACTTAATCTGGCTGTTCATCTATATCCTATACAACATACTTTCATAAACCAGTAAACATAAATATTTCCCTGAGTTCTGTGGCCTATACTACCATATTATTAAATGAAAGTAGGGGATCTGGGAACCCCCATTTATAGCCAGTAAATCAGAGGTACAAGCCACAAACTGAGACCTGCAATAAGCATCTGAAATGGAGGCAGTCTCATAGTGGTCTCCAGGTAGTGTCAAAACTGAACTGAATTATTAAAAACCCAGTGAATGTTCTCTATTAGAAATGCACGATATCTAACTAAAATCTACACCTGATATTAGAAGTGAAGTACATGGTAGAGTGTATATGAGCAGGAAAAAATGGCTTGGTTTTTCCCATCTCCTAGAATGCTTTTGGCTTTTTTTCTTTATTTTAATATACATACAAAAATGGACCAGGAATTTAGCTCAGTGACACTGCGACTGCCTCACGGTACTGGATAAAAGAAAAAACAAAATACAAAACTACCCAAAGTATTTAGGGATGAAATGATATCTAGGATGTGCTTCAAAATAATCAGAGAGGGGAAGAAAATGGAAATAATATTAGCTATGAGTTTTTACAGTAGTTAAAATCTAAGTAATAGTTAAATGGTGGTCATCACTGTACTTTTGGGTTTGAAATCTCACATCATGATGGTTTAAAAAAAAAGTGTATGTATGTAGCTGCCTTTTCACCACCACCCCCAAAAGCCACTTCTTCCAATGAACAAAACTGTTTAATTTCAAGTTCACCATCTAAGTATTAAATATTGTGCCTAAACTACTTTTCTTTTTTCTGGAACTGGGGATCAAACTCAGAGCTCATGCTTGCCAAGCAGGTGTACAGTGCCACTGAGCTACATACCCAGCCCAACTACTTAGTATTTTTAAACCAACAACGACAAGTGTGATAACAAATTCATTTAAATCTTTCCAGGAGTCCTACTTGATAGTTGCTCTATCAGGTTAGATCTACCCCTTCTCTAATCTAAGAGTGGTCTGAACCGGATTCAAAGAAAGCAGAAGACTCATTCTCCTCTGAAGACTCTGAGGTAGTACCTAGAATTGCCAAACATCTAGTATCAAACCAGCCTGGAAATTAAATGCCTGATACAACTCATTAAAGCAGGTATTCAGCAGCAGCCACATTCACTGTATGTCTCAATTTTCTATGCTGTTTGAGTCAACAATCAGTGGTGTATGGTGTATAAAGTTCTGAGAGCCACATCTGGCCCAGCCTTACAAATACTGGTTCTGCTATAAGCAGGAAAGAGAAAAATGAAATGAGAGTCAAAGGTGGAAAGAGTGCTAATGAAGAAAATGCTGTTCTTGTTCCAATAAATTAAGAATCCTTATTTGTTCATAGAACACATTTTTTAAAAATTTTAGTATTCAGACCTTCTCTTACTTAGATGCAACTTTTACCATGTTTAAAAGAAAAGGAAAAAATTTCTTGAAGTTCTGCTTCAAAGGATCTGGCACATATGGTCCTTTACAACTTTGAAATTTTTTTTTCTATCTTGTACTCTCAACATATTTGTGTAAGGTATATGCAGCATTAAAAACAATAAAGGGCGAATCTGTGAACTTCTTACCCAGTGTTTTCCGACTTCTTTCTACAGCTGTTCTTCGAGTTTGCTCAAACATTGCTTCCAAGTCAAATGTGCGAGCTTTTTTCCCTAAAACAGGAAAAAGTAGCAGACTATGATTATCTTGCAATAAGCTGGCCAAACCTTAGGTACTCCATAGTTATTACTGATCAGAAACCGCCTCATCTATTATATAGTATGGCTCCAATGTAATTATACAATACCAAGGAATTTTTTTTACCAAAGAATTTTTAATGACAAACTCATAACTACAGATTCTCATTTAAAATGCTGAAACCAGAAGTATTTCACCAACTACAGAAATGATCCCTGAAAGTATAGCCCTCCAGAATTATTTCAGATTTCAGAGTTTTTCATAATTAAAGTATTTGTATAGGCTTTATTAATTGCACATCCCTACTCTGAAATCCAAAATCCAGCTGGGTGCAGTGGCTCAAGCCACTCCCAACACTGAGAAGACTGAGGCATGTGGATAACTGCAAATTCAAGGCCAGCCTGGGCTCCATAGTGGGCTCCAAGACCAGCCAGAACTACATAGCAAGACCTTGTCTCAAAAAACAAAAACCAAAAATTTAATTAAATTTTTTGAGTACTTTTTGAGTACAGTACTGGCATAACACACAAAAAGCTTGAAATTCAGATTTTTCAATTAGGAATGCCAACCTGCAAAATTAAACCAGCCAACTTTTTTATCCCCCTCTAATTTATCTAGATTCCCTTGAAACATCACTGGTGTGTTAGGCAGAATGAAGAATGTCCACATCTTAATCCCTGAAATAGGAGAAAAATGGCAAAAGCGACTTTTCAGATATACTTAGGTTTTACAGACTGACTATGTAGCCCGTCTTAAACTTGCAACACTCAGCTTCCTGAGTGCTGGGATTACAGGCACATGCAACCATGACCAGCTTTCATCTGAACGTCTGACCTACAGAATTATAATATAATAAACCTGTATTAAAATGTTAAACATGTGGTAATTTGTTACAGCAGCAATAAAAAATACAAATGAAAAGCCAGGTGTGGTGGCTCACACCTGTAATCCCATAGCGAGGCTGAGGAGGATAGCTGCAAGTTCATAATCAGCCTGGGCTACACATAGTGAGTTCCAGGGTAGTCTGAACTACATAGGGAGATCCTATCTAACTATAGGAAAAAAAAAAAAAAAAAACACTGCATACACACTAATGAAAATTTTTCTTTAGTACATTATCTTAGCATAGTAGTAAAATCCCCAAAGAACCAAACACTAAAGGGGAGAAGTAAAGCTACAGAACTGAGGCTGATCCCCAGTAACTTTGTTAACTCTTAAAACTTTCTCCTACTTGGCTTAAGCCTCTGGTTCATGCCTCTCGCTCCTGAGTACATGAATGTGGTACTGGGATGGTGACCAAGTATGTGTGAACACAACCCAAGGCCAACATATGTAAGTCCTCAAACACTGGCTTCTAGCTACAGTTCAAACTCTTGGGAGACTTAGGCTGAAGAATTGCTTAAACTCAGGAGTTGAGGCTCAACCTAGGCAACACAGTGGTCCCCATTTAAAAGAAAAAAGATTGGCCCAACTTAAACAAGTAAGCACAATGTTTAAGTTTTGTTGTTTTTTTTTCAATACCAGGGATCAAATTTAGGACCTTGAGCTTGCCATGCAGACATGATGCTGCTGAGCTACATCCCCGGCCCATTACATTGTTAAATTATTACCAATAC